GTCCACAGAACTCTTCCTGGTATGGAGGCGGTTCCGGAAGAGGACGAGCTCTTGCAATATATATGGGTGAAGACCAACTCAACCACCGTCGAAATGACTGCCCAATGCTTCACGATCAAGCCTTGATACAATCTTCTAGCTGCACCTCATTCATCCGTCAACACTATCTCCTCAAACGTAGTTGCAATCCCATGTATTAGAACACTTAAAATCAATATACTCTGCCGCTCCAACCCCATGTTGATAGGGGCGGCGGAAATCCCAACCTCTACAAAGAGGGGAAACAGCCGCTAGGGTTTCTCTCTAGACTCTTTCTGCCAATTTGAAATGTACAATATGTACTTTTCATTTCTTATATATAAATTTTAAAGTACCTAATATATTCAAAACATTAACTTTGGGCACACGTATAATATAATCTATTAAAGATATTTGAGGCCACACAGTAGCTTAACCGGCACCGGTTCGGCCCTATGGTCGACGTCGGTTAGACTTTTGTCCCAAGTCAACGGCCCGGTGACCCCCGAGGAGCGCTCCATCCGGTCCCTACGTGTAGATTTGTCAGATCCAGTCCTTAAAGAATATCTCCAATTTTCAGCAAATCAACTGCAAATGAATGAACGCTATTAAAGGGATTCTTTTAATAGATTAACGGGGTTTTATATCGAAGATTGACATTCATATAATTGATCTTGTCGGCTATAGGTTCAAGCTAGTATGTTGATCCCCACACCTTTATGTAATTTTTTATGTTAAACAGCTTTAAACCAGCTCTGGTTTACATATTTGTCTTATAAGCAGGGATGAAATTAGGGTCAGGGACGACCGCATGCTTACACTTATAAGCAGGGATGTAACATACATGCATAGTATTTTTATAAAAAATTAGGGCCTGTTTACTAACAGAGATATTTTCCGGTTTTCTACTTCTGTTTTTTGTTCTCCGATTTTCTGTTTTTATTTTTCAATTTTTCTATCTCCAATTTTCTGTTTCTATTTTTTAGTTTTCCATTTTCAAATCTAAAAATATGTTCATCAATTTTTTCACCCAGTTCTCCAATTCCACACCCTTGACCCTTACCCCTACCCTTATCACGATCTTACACTTTACCCATACTCCCTCACAACCCTTCATACCCACCCATACCTACTCGTAGGTGTCGGGGGTAGCGGGTGGGGGTGGGGTAAGGGGTATGGTCGGGGTGGGGTGGTAAGGTCTAGGGGTAGGGGGTTGGGTGGGGGTAGTGGGGTTAGGATCATGGTTAGGTACTTAGGGATAAGGGTGAGGTAGGGTTTGGGTAAGGTAGGGGTAGGAGTTGGGATAGGATGGCGGTAGGGTGGGGCCGGGACCAGGGTTCGAGGTAAGGAAGGGGTAGGGGGTAGGATGGCGGTAAGGGTGGGGGTAGTGGATAGGGTTGGGGTTGGGGTAAGGTAGGGGTAGGGTAGGGTAGGGAGTTGGGATAGGATGGCGGTAGGGTAGGGTGGATCGGGGTGGGGCCGAGGTAGGGGCATGTGGTAGGGGGTAGGGTAGGGTCATTATAGGGAAAATGGGTACGCGGGGTGGGGGTTGGGTGGGTATGGTAGGGTAGGGGTAAGGGGTAAGGTACGAGGATGGATGTACCGGAATGGAATCGACATCGGAGCGGGACCGGACCCACTGTAGGATCTGCGTTTTTCAAATTTGCAAAACTAGTAAAAGTCACTTCTCCAAATCATCAAGGAAAAGAGAGGCATGTCTCATTTTTTTCGTTTTGGAAAACAATTTGGTAAACGTGTTTTTCTTTTTTCCTTTCTCTATTTTTCCAGGAATTTCTTTGGTAAACACATTTTCTGTTTTCTGTTTTCCAGTTTTCCAGTTTTCTGGAAAACTGGAAAATATCTCTGTTAGTAAACAGACCCTTAGGTTTTTGCTAAATATACAAATGTCGCCTCTTAGTTTTTAGTTTTTTAAACCCTTTGATAATTATAAAGACTTATATTGTCCTTAATAATTCAATCTTTGCACCTCATCTTCATTCATTGGTTCCTGACCAATTGATGACCTACTATTCCAAGTTATTTTCTTATCTTTGTAAAACATTATACCATAAATCTCACATTTCACAATTAATAAGGGTGTTTTGTTTGCCATTCCTTCTCTTGTTTTGCTTTGCCTAACAATTATTTTCTTTCATAGCAGGGGAAAACACGCTTTTGATCTTAAATTCATACTCAAATTATCTCGTATTTTTGTTTTTGTAAATGTGATCCCTATACTAAGCCGTGTTAAAGGAATTCGGCCGGATAAACCTGCAAAAAATCATTAGAAAAATAATATAGCTCGAGTCGCGTAAACGTTGTCCTCAAGAAAGTATTTCCGACTAGCGAAAACCTTTCCCCAAGATAAAACGAGCTCTTCGGCGTAAGCCGGTAACGGAACAACGAGTGTAAAATATATTAATCCAGCAGAATGAAATTGTTAGGGATGTTTAGCTCAAAATTATATGTGCTCCAATTGCTAGCCGAACACACATATATGCATGTGTGTGTGTGTGTGTGTGTGTGTATATATATATACAGTGTTCTAAAAGGCGCTAGGCGCTAGTCGGGCGGTGACTGGCCGCCTAGCGCCTAGCCCGCCTAGGCGCCGACTAGGGCGCCTAGGTATTTTCCTTTATTTCTTTTTTTTTTATTTTCATTGAAATTTAAAAATATTACCAATAATTTTATATATTATTTTGAAAATAGAAATAGCTCATATAATCATTAGATATTATGGTTTATGTATAAAAATTATAAATAATAAAATAATTAATAGATAAATGTAGATATTTATATATTTTTAGTCTCCAAAAATGTATATATACACTCTAAAAAGTTATAAATATGTCAAAATTATTTTTTGTCGTAGTAATATGAAGCTAAACTATATAGAAATAGAATACTTATTGATCAAACGTGGTTTTAAGTCAAAACGGGGGAAAAAAGTTGAATCGGGGAAAAAATGAATCCGGACCGCCTAGCCACCGCCTAGCCCGCCCAGGAGCCCGCCTAGCCGCCTAGGCGGCCGCCTAGCCCGCCTAGGCGCCCGACCGATTTTTTTGACCGATTACACCGAAATCGGGGCGCCTGGCCACCGCCTAGCGACTAGGCGGCGCCTAGGCGGGCGCCTAGCCCGATTTTTAGATCCATGTATACACACACACACACACACACACACACACACACACACACACACACACACACACACACACACACACCACTATTCAGGTCCGGCCAGGCCGGACCACTCCCCCCGTCCGGCCTCCTCCATTTGGGGGTCTTTCCGGTGGTATTTTTTGCTCAAATTTTTTGTGTAGGTTCCTCATCAAGTCTATTTTGTCCATACCAAATTTCAGCTCAAATTTCGATCGGAAAGGTCGTCAAATGATTTTTGCAAGTTAACTGGTCCGGAAAATACATATTCCGGACCAGTTAACTTGCAAAAATCATTTGACGACCTTCCCGATTGAATTTTTGGCTGAAATTTGGTATGGATGAACTACGCTTGATGAGCAACCTACACAACAAATTTGAGCAAAAAATACCACCGGGAAGGCCCCCAAATGGAGGAGGCCGTACGGGGCTCCGGTCAGGTATACCTGACCGGAAGAGTACTATATATATATATATATACACAACTATTCAGGTCCGGCCAGGCCGGACCACTCCCCCCGTCCGGCCTCCTCCATTTGGGGGTCTTCCAGGGGGTATTTTTTGCTCAAATTTTTTGTGTAGGTTCCTCATCAAGTCTAGTTCATCCATACCAAATTTCAGCCAAAAATTCAATCGGGAAGGTCGTCAAATGATTTTTGCAAGTTAACTGGTCCGGAATATGTATTTTCCGGACCAGTTAACTTGCAAAAATCATTTGACGACCTTCCCGGTTGAAGTTTTGGCTGAAATTTGGTATGGATGAACTAGACTTAATGAGGAACCTACACAAAAAATTTGAGCAAAAAATACCATCGGGAAGACCCCCAAATGGAGGAGGCCGGACGGGGCTCCGGTCAGGTATACCTGACCGGAAGACTACTCTATATATATATATATATATATATATATATATATATATATATATATATATATATATATGAGTGCTATTCCAGTCAGGAAATTCCTGACCGGAGCCCCGTCCGGCCTCCTCCATTTGGGGGCCTTCCCGGTGGTATTTTTTGCTCAAATTTTTTGTGTATGTTCCTCATCAAGGCTAGTTCATCCATACCAAATTTCAGCAAAAAATTCAATCGGGAAGATGGTCAAATGATTTTTGCAAGTTAACTGGTCCGGAAAATAAATGTATTTGATTGTTATTAGGAAAAATTGAAAATAATAATCCCAACTATTGCCGGTCCGCTAACAATAATCCCAACTATTGATTATTTTTGTATAATCCCAACTATATGAACCATCCGCCAATAATGGTCCATGACCAAATATTACCTTCTATAAAAAAGATTTTTAAATAGAAATTAAACGTAAAAATTAAAAGTTGAGATTATTTATAGAGATCACTTGCGATATCTCTTCTCATCCACTTCAGAAAGTACATGAATTTATTTACAGGGACTGTTATTGGCGGAAGGACCCTAAAGTTGGGATTATTCTGAAATAATCGATAGTTGGGATTATTATAAGCGGACTGCCAATAGTTGAGATTATTACAATCAATTTTTCCTTGTTATTATTAAAAGAGGATAAATTAATCCTTCAGGAAAGTAAACCTACGGTTACCAGCTAAGCCTATTAATGCTCAAAAGGCTATAGACTTTTACAAGATTAATTAAAGAGTTCAAAAAAAATGTTATTGAAGCAAGTAAATCATTATTCATTTGAAATACTCCTATACTAGTATTCTACCCGTGCGATGCACGGGAAATAATTACATTCAAAGATGTATTGTATAAGATATAAAAAAAATAGTGACACAACTTCAAAATTTTAGTAACATTTTGTACATACATAAGAGTACGATGGAAGTAGTAATATCAATATAAATACAAATGAACATTTATAGAACCTGAAAACAAATTGTCTTACAAATTTCGGAATATTTTCTTAAATACAACGTTCATCGTTACATTGGTACTTTTCCCATCTGTGTCACATATAGCTATTTTCAAACCAGTGGGATTAGTGACACGTGAAAGCGCAACGTATAACTGACCATGACTAAAAACAGGTTTTTTTAAGACTAATCCAACATTGGACAATGATTGTCCTTGACTCTTATTTATCGTCATGGCATATGAGACGATCAAAGGAAATTGTCTTCTTTCAAACTTGAAAGGCAATCTCACATCAGATGGAGTCAAAGACATTCTCGGTATCAAAACCTTCTCACCTGCACTCAATCCTGTCAAAACTTTTGCTTCCAAAATATGCTTACCTAATCTGGTAATAACCATCCTGGTCCCATTACACAACCCTTGAGAATGATCAAGGTTCCGCATTAGCATCACCGGTGTTCCAACTTTAAGATGCAGTTCATGATTTGGAACTCCTGAAACTTTAATACCATTCAAAAATTCTGGAGTATGGATGTTGGCTAAAAAGTCAGGATTTGAATCTGATTTACACGGGCTGTTAGAACTAAGGTAGGTTTTCATCTCAGAACCATTTAAGGAAAGCATGTAATCATTGATGCTGTCAACAACTTGGAGGGTGGGGGCCAATATTGCTCTATTTTTTAAATAGTTGGGATCTTCATGAACGGAATCAAAGGAAGGATAAATACAATCAACCATTTTTGCTATAGGATCGTCAAAATCTTTTAATAAAAATTCATCTGGAATCTCAATCTCCACAAAACCATCATTTGGTCCTCCAATGGTGCCATCACCAATGCTTGCAATCCATTCGGAAAACTTTACCAAATATTCTGTTTGATCGTTAGCTGGCAAATGAAGAAGTCTCAAATTTTTAGTTAAACGCATGACATGTGTATGCTGCCACAAATAGGAAGAATTTATAGATGCATTCACAATATCTTGCCTGGTTCCCTTAGGTATGACAGGTAGGATTTGTCTGAAATCTCCACCAAACACTATTGTCTTTCCACCAAAGGGTATTTCAAGACTTCTTGGGTTTTGAAACCGCAAAATATCACGTAGAGTTCGGTCTAAAGCTTCAAAGCAATGTTTATGCACCATTGGAGCTTCATCCCAAACTATAAGCTTACATTTGACCAGAAGTTCAGCAAGAGCACTACCTTGTTTTATATTGCACGTAGAATCTTCATTGGGATGGATTGGAATCTTAAACCGAGAATGGGCAGTTCGACCTCCTGGGAGCAATAGCGACGCGATTCCACTCGATGCAACATTCAATACTATCTCTCCTCTGGAACGTATAGCAGCAGAAATCTGAAGGATAGCAGCCACAATCTGAAGGATCAGCAGCAAAATAATAAGCCATCTTCATCTTCTACGTGAACCACACCGGCAGAAACGACAATCAATACATTTCCCGATTTCATTTTCGGAGAAATCTGAAGGATCTCAGCCACAATCTTCAACGAATTTGGAGAGATAAGTGTTTTTTCCCCTACTTTGTATAGATTCTGAAGTACTTCCATTATTTTGTAAATCTGCCATCGTTAGTACAAAATGTACGGGAATATGTAAATCTCGTTTTTATTCAGTCTGGTTTGAATAAAAACTCTTATTTTTTAAATCCGAACCATAATACAGAGATGTAACTTCAATTAAACATATTTGACTTCATATGGTTTATTTATTCAATTAAATCCTTATTCATCATCCATATAGTACAAATTTGAACTGTTTTACTAAAATAAAATTTAAATATTGCACTGCATGCTGTGCTCTGACTTTAGAAATCAATTTACGGTCTTACCTTTATCATTGGTGACAGCTACACCTCTTTTTCTCCCAAATTGTGCACTCTTTGTAAGCTTGACCATTTATATTTTTTTCCTAATGGTTCTGCAAAAGTTTGGAGTACCTTAAGGTGTGCAAAATATGCTACATTCAATGAATGAAAGATATAAGCCTCTAAACCATCTAATGCTTTAACAGGTACCTTCACAAATTTTTAAGAAGTGAGAGTATGTAATTTGACCTCAACAATGTGTACAATAAACAGAGATGTATGACAAAACGTAAGTTAACTTTTATGGAAACCGTCTTTTTCAGTTTATGATAAGTGCATCTATCATTCATCAAAATATAGAGTAAACTTATATCTTCTTTCAATTCTAAGTGAAATTATTAAAAGAAAACAACCACACAACTGAACCAACCATTATACATTTACATATGCAATCATTTTCTTTTCAGTAAAATTGTGGAGCTACATTAAAGTATATCATTTTTTTAGCAGGTATGCTATCTTATGGAGCAACATAAGATAGGCAAACTTATGCAGGTACTTAAAATATCCAAACTTGTGCAGCTACTTAAGGTATGCACTTTTCTTTCAACACATTCTTTGCATAAAATTTATCTAAAAGTGACAACTAAATACCTATACAAAGAGGCAACGAATTGCTTGCATAAAAATTTTCATTGTTTACATTTGTTTACCTCCTTCATACGGCAGCAATGACTTGTATTCCCTCTACACAGTATGACTTGTGTTCAATCCAGCATGTTTCCATCTCAACCTTTCAAAATGGGGAGTCAAAATGGGAAGTAGTAGGGTTTTGATTGAGCTCTTATTGTCGGCATATGTTTTATATATATAGTGTCACTATGCAAATCATTAATTTAATAATTAAATTATCACAAAGACCAAAGTATTGGGCTTTGAAACATTTCCTGTGAAAGATGTGTAAAAAATGAGCCGTCACTCTTTGTTTTTATACATTCCAAAAAGCATATTATTATTTAACACCTTAAGAAATTCGAAAGGGCACAAATATGTTTTCATTTTCATATCTAGAAATTTTAAAAGGCATATTTATATTTGAAACCTTTGGAAATTTCGAAAGGCACAGACTCTTAAATGAGCCGTAATTTATTTTTGAATATTTAAATGGCTGACTCTTTCTCGAAAAGGCATATTCATATCTAAAATGTTTAGAATTTTTAAAAGGCACAAATTAAGCTTAATAGGGTGTTTGGCAGCACTGTTTTTCGGCTTATCAGGCTTATCAGCCAACTTTTTCACCAAACGCGTAACTTTTACTTTCGCGCGCTGAGTTGTGTAATAAGCATAAAAAGTAAGGTTGAAGTTACACATAATTTTAGCTATTTTTACATATAATTTTGGCTGAAGCCACTGTAGATTACCATTTTAGCTATTTTTACATATAATTTTTTCTTTATTTTATTAATAAAATATATTTTAAAAATAGTTGTTTTTAAAATCAGCAGATTCAGCCAATACAGCCACTTCGGCCAGAACTTAAGAAATTTCAGCAGAATTAACCAAAACAGCCGATTTCAGTGCTGCCAAACGGGCTCTAAATTTAAATATCTCAGAGCCACTTTATAGGAATTTTAAACATCACATATGCAACTGGATATGATCTCGATGCAAGTTTTTAATTGCTAATCACCTATCGTGCAATTAAGAGCCCGTTTGGAGACATCTTTTTTCGGCTTATCAGGCTTATCAGCCAGTTTTTTCACCAAACACGTAGCTTTTACTTTCGCGAGCTGAATTGTGTAATAAGCAGAAAAAGTAAGATCGGAGTTACTTTTCTGGCTGTATTGGCTGAAGTTACTGTAGATGACAATTTTAGCTATTTTTACATTTATTTTTTTCTTACTTTTATTAATAAAATATATTTTTAAAATATTTTTTTCTTAAATCAGCAGAATCAGCCAAAACAGTCACTTCAGCCAGAATTTCATAAATCTCAGCAGAATCAGCCAAAATAGCCCATTTTCATACTACCAAGAGGCCGTTTGGCAACACTGTTTTTCGGCTTATCAGGCTTATCAGCCAACTTTTTCACCAAACACGTAAATTTTGCTTTCGCGCGCTCAATTGTGTAATAAGCAGAAAAAGTAAGGTTGAAGTTACTTTTCTGGCTGTATTGGCTGAAGTTACTATAGATTACCATTTTAGCTATTTTTACATATAATTTTTTCTTATTTTATTAATAAAATATATTTTATAATTAATTTTTTCTTAAATCAGCAAAATCAGCCAATGCAGCCACTTCAGCCAGAACTTCATAAATTTCAGCAGGATCAGCCAAAACAGCCGACTTTGATGCTACCAAACGGGCTACAAATGGGTTCTAAATGTACGGCCAAACTTATTTCTTCTGTAGAAACTTCAAAAGGCCATTCATTGTTGAACAGTGTTGTTTTGTTGGTATTATCTATACTATGACAAATTTCCCCTAAACCACATATTTTATTATAAATATCATATTAATGCAATAATATTATTTTTTTAAATCCCTAAGATATTTATCATTCTAGCTACCCACGTAATAAATAAATGAGCTGCCACTTCATATCATGCCTAGAAATTGTAAAAGGCATATTTATATCTGAAACTTTTAGAAAGCTCAAAAGGCACAAAAATAGTGGCTGTAACTCACTATGGAATATTTAAATGGCTGACTCCTTCTCTAAAAGGCATATTTATATCCAAAATTTTTAGAAATTTCAAAAGCCACAAAGGTAAATTTTAATATCTCACAACCACTTTATACGAATTATAAATATCACCTATACAACTGGGCATAATCTCGGCCTTAGTCTTTAATTGATAATCACCTTTTATGCAATTAAATGTAAGGCCAGACTTTTTATTCTGTAGAAACTCCAAAAGGCTCATTCGCATGAATACAAAGATTGTGCGGTCAAAAACAAAGAGAAAATAATTTTATAATTAATTTATGTTTTCCACACGTATTTATTCATTAGGTGTAGTTAATAATTTTATAAATATAATTTTTATAATAATGGTTTTACAAATAAAGACACCCCATGTGAAAATAAAATAAATATCTTCACCAAAATTAATTGGCACGGTTTATCATTCAAAACAAAGCCCATATCATATAATAAAACAAATGAGTTCAAAACAAACAGCTCCCAGTTCAAACAAAACAAAAGCATTCAGTTCTAACAAAACATAGAGGTTAAACAAAATATTCTGTAATAGCAAATACAATCTCCCAAACCATCAAATGGTGGGTAATAGCAAATACAATCTGCGAAACAATCAAATGCTTCCACAAACACAACAAAACAATTGTCCAAAACTTGTTGCAAAATAAAACTTAGTTTTTTCTTAGCAAAATCATAAGAGAAATAGCAGTTCATTTCTCCAACTTGACAATCTTTCTCATTTTCTTCGATGAAGAGTTGCATGAGGAATCCCCAATCAAATCCCTCTTCAATTTTTCTCCAGCGCTTGAACTCTTGTGCCCTTCGTTGTTGGCTTTTCCGTGATCAGGAGTAGAAACTTCACCTTGTGAAGAATATGCCTACACCATAGCATAAGCTAAAACTCACATCAAAATGATTATAAGGTAACTTCAGTAATTTACAAATATCAATACCATAATTACCTTTTCACAGTGAGAATCAACATGGTGCATCTTGGATATGAAATCAGATTCCTATATAACATTAATAGAAAAATTATATTACTGTTATAGTATTAATTAAAAAATTGGAAATTAATCAATCTAAACTCAATGGTGAACCTGTTCATCATTCCCATTAACATTGAATTTCTCAATAAGAGCTTCATCTCTTGTGAATTTCATCACACTGAAGGCTGAATTGTAGTTTCCAATTTGTTCCTTCTTAATCTGAACCTTGAATAGCATTGACACATCTACAACGGCCTCTATCTCAGCGGGAACATAACTCTCCTGACGTCCACTCTGATAATAATTAAGCACATTTCGACTAATCAGATGCAGTAACTAAGTTACAACAAAAATACTGGAAAAACGAATGATACTTACGCTTAACATCATGTTTTGACACTCAACTGCGTCCTTTCCAAACATTTCTTGCCCAACGTCATCCCAAATGAGTAAGGGTGCATTTCCAGTAGAGTCGATCACTCGGAGTATCACTTTATACCTATTGCATTTATGCATTAGCCTTGACAACATTTTGATTTTTTTTTTTGTGTATTTGAATCATAGTTTCTAAAATATTAATAGAGGGGAATTAAAATCACCTTGGAATACCATCAGAATAAGGTTTATCGCACTTGGTGCAGTAAAATTTGGAACTGGTTTTTTCCAGTTTCTTGCGACATTTAGTGCACGAAAGATACCACCAATTTTTATCGCTTTCAATTGCCACAACCTTTGCAGAAATCCAAAAGCTTCCAACCTAAAATCAATCATTTTTATTTATTAAACAATTTTTAATCCTGTTATGCTGTAAACATTAATCATTCACAACAACAATAGTCTCAAAATTACCTCCTGAATCTCGTATAGTTCTTCTATTGTTTTAAGTGGTTGTTCCAGACTCTCAAGCTCCTCAGAAATGCTCATTTGTCGGTCTGTAGTTACTGAAACAGTGCGTATCGGCTGAGTGAGAACATTCACTTCCTGCAAGCTGTGTAAACACAAAACATGCTATAGTTATATAATTATAATTAACAATAAACACAATCTGGATAAATTCTCAAACCTGTTCTTGAACTCTTGAAACTCAACATCATCTCCATTAATGACAACACGCGTGACATTGTAGTTGGTTGATATTTTTGGTTCACCTTCATTTCCAAATCCAACATCCGTTAATCAGTTTTTCATTTTAACTTACTAATACCAACTACTAATGTGAACCAAAAAAATATAAATTAACATTATTTCAACATTTCAACATTTTCTTCTTCCCAAAACAATGACCTTAGTTTTAAGTGGCAGTTTTATAACAATTTAAAATTTATATGTATTATTTGAGACTCGTATGTATAAACATCAACTTTATAAAGATTGTATGAGACTTTTAATAAGATTATTTTCAAATTCTGCCATTGTCCCTAATGAACTTTCAAAATCTGCCATTTTCCCTAATTAAATATATTTTCAATATACCATTTTTTGCATTATTTTTACTTAACACACTAACCTCTGAATATTCCTGCCCGACAGAACTGTAAAGTCACAATGACCGGTTCAGTCTGATCATCGCCTATATATGGAAGAATTTGATCAACAAAGTTATCCCAAAACGTGCATGACAATTGATTCAACCTGTATTATTTCATAACACTTTCAATTATACATTTGTGCCAAGTAGAAATTAAATATGCACTAAAAAGGTAAACTGTAGAAGAAAAATATTAGGGAACCTTGGATCCTGCAAAGTGACCTCTATCAATCTGTGAGGTCTTCCCTGATACATCACTTCTCGAACCGCTTTCTTTGAAACAACCTGTCCAATAACATCTAGTTTTTTTTTTACATTACATTATTAGAAAGTTTTTATTATACCATAAAATAAAAAAAAATATCTATATTAAAAGTAATGTGCTCACCAAAAAGCTCACTCTCATCAATTATTCTCGCATTCAACAATGATTCAAATCCCTTGAACTTATACACATGGTTAGGAAATGCATCATCCTCGTAATAGATAACCTCTGTCTTTTCATAAAATATCATCTTAAACTTATTATCCGTTGTCCTACACTTCTTTCCATCAATTGCAACAATGAAACGTCGGACAGCATACAAACTTCGCTCCTTAAGAAGTTGTCTATATTTAGCCATCTGCGACATCCTTATCGTAGCATGAATTAGAGCACCCTACAACGAATACAAATTCACAGCTTCATTAGATGGACAGACTCCACCCATAAATAATAATATTCAAATAAAGAACGAAATTATTACCTCCTTATCATGGAATACACATTCCAATCCCCTAATGTCACCGGTGTCGCTTATGTTTTCGTACACACGAAGCAAACGCAGACGAAGTGCCCAATGTGTGTCGCTAGGCGTAATATCCTTCACCAAACCAAACGTTGGAGACATCTTCAAGAAAAAACAAACAAACATTATAAGAAAAATTACATGAACCGTATGAATAATTGGCTGCAAACAGTTCACTCGTTGATTTATTTGACTTGAAGGATGAAAAAGAACTTGATAAAAAAATTACGATGAAATAGATGAATGTTTAGCACAGAGCACTTGTTGGCAAAAAGAAGCTTGTTTGGTAGAGTCACTCGATGGGGTATTTATTTCATGAATTTCATTGGATAGCTGCAAATAGTATTAAATGCTTGAATGTTGTAAACTGTGCAAGAATGAGGATCGGCAAAGCAGGAAGCATTAATTGAACAGCCGCATAATCCTCTCTCTTTGTTTATTTGTAGTCATTCGTATTCTACAATAATTGTAGCTGTATGCATCTTATTAAATATTAATTAAAGTATTCTACACACTATTGCTTACTGTGTCAATGTGTCCATATGTATTCCACACGGATGGGACATCCATTTTTTCAGTAACACTTTTTCCCGCCCAACACCCCCTTGTTCTCCCTCTTTGGGACTTTTGTGTTTTACTATATATAATAATATAGATGTGTCCATATGTATTCCACACGGATGGGACATCCATTTTTTCAGTAACACTTTTTCCCGCCCAACACCCCCTTGTTCTCCCTCTTTGGGACTTTTGTGTTTTACTATATATAATATAGATATAGATATAGATATCCAACAAGTCATTCGTTTTTTTTCGAATGTCATCCTCGCCTTGTATATTTTGATCTAACATGACAAAAGTAATTATGTTTCAATGATATTAACAGAAAAACGATAAAAAAAATGATATTAACAGAAAATTGGAGAGCCTGTTTGGTAGCACGAAAATCGGCTGATTTGGTTGATTCAGTTGAAAATTTTGAAGTTCTGGCTGAAATGACATGCATTGTCAACCCTACTATAGGTATCCCGATTGGTACCCCAACCTATTTCTGTGGCTCACAAAAGCCCACCCCAATAAATGAATTGCCTCACTTTAATGAGGTGCTTTTGTGAGCCACAAAAATAGGATGGGGGTCAGTGGCAGAACCAGAACTTTTTTCGAGGAGGTGCTGAGAAATATACTCCCAACAAGCTACTCAAGAACCACATAATCTCCACTCAAAAAACAAAATCACTAGTAGTGTTGAAGGAAATTACCTTTAATGTGTATTCGTTATAGATAGAAAGTATGTCTAGGGTTTTTATATGTATTAAGCTAATTGGCCCATTGGCTCATCTCTTGTACACCCTAGTTTTCTCCTATTTAAAGGAGGCTTGCTTAATGGAATAATACACAACCTTCACTTCCCTACAACACGTTATCAGCACGTTGCTCTAAACCTAAATATTTTCCGCATCCCTTCACTCGGCTATCACCATCCTTAGCCGATCTTTTATCGTCCGCATAATTTTCCTTTTCATTGATGAACTATTGAAAGCTTCCGTACGAGTAGAGGAGATTCAAGCACCAAAGATCGAACATCCTCCATCAACGATCCACGTCGCCCAGCACTTGGACTTGAGGTTAGTCCATTGAAAATATATACGTCGTAATATATTCAAAGCTCGTTTATTAACAACCTGCTTTATTTTTAGCAAAACATCCAACATTGTTCGCTCATATATTTGTAATATATACTTCGTATGTTTCATTCCGGAGTACTTGTTTCATCATGTACTTATTCTGCCGCCACACAAAACGACACATCCTTTCATACATGCCTATTTTTTTGTAATGAAAAAGATCTTTCGGAGTATTTCATTTTCGTTTATATATAATCACTGACAAGATAAATTTGTTATTCAACCGTTATATGTCTAAACTAGCACAATAGACGAGAGCTCTTCTCATCAGGCCGGCCTGACGGGCTGCCCCGTCCGGCCGAGCCCGTTTGGGCACCTTCCCGATGGAATTTTTTGATGAAATTTTTTGAGCATGTTCCTCATCAAGTCTAGTTTGTCCATACCAAATTTCAGCTCAAAATTCGATCGGGAAGGTTGTCAAATGATTTTTGCAAGTTAACTGGTCCGGAAAATACATATTCTGGACCAGTTAACTTGCAAAAATCATTTGACGACCTTACCGATCGAATTTTGAGCTGAAATTTGGTATGGACAAACTAGACTTGATGAGGAACATGCTCAAAAAATTTCATCAAAAAATTCCACCGGGAAGGAGCCCAAACGGGCTCGGCCGGACGGGGCAGCCCGTCAGGCCGGCCTGATGAGATGATTTCTCCACAATAGACACTCTATGTACGTTATATATATCCCTCTAGTAAATTCCATGCATACCCTAGATGATTTCATTATTTCAAAATATATCTCAGAATTATATTATATAAATAAAATAATCAACGTTAGGTTTCTGTCTATAATCACCCATTACAAATGATTAAATGTTAAGTCTTCACTATACTTATTTGATTTTAATATTTAAGGGAATGTTTGTGTACACATGTAAACATAATACATACATTTTTAACTAAACGATTCCCCCCGCACCTCACATATGTAAGTGTAATCCAGAATTTTAAATTGTGACTCTACCCTCATTAATTTATTTTGTTTATTTTTAGTAAGACTGAAATCTTGGAACTAAATCTAATTCGCCACTAAAATGGTAAACTATCATACAATATATTTTGTAACGTCCATGAATCAATGAACATAAATACTCCCATTATATTATTATTATAGACAAATCTGTGTACTACGTATATACGTTAGATTATTATATAAGCAAAGAAAATCATTTTTTTAAACCCGTTAACCTTAAATGAGTAAATAATATGGCAAGTTTTATTTTGACTTTAATATTCCATTAATTGTGCATAACATACAATTGACACATGCATAAAATAAATGACACGTATGTATATAGATATTGCTGTCTCATGCATGTATTTGCCCCCTTTATTATTCTAGACTATATGAAAAAAACGTATTTTTCCACCCATTGTAACTTATGTGTATATTTCATTTTTAACAAATATCTTTTAGTATGTATTATTCCTTTTGCAATACCATATATAATACGTGGGTTATTAATTTTATATTATTATATGCTTAATTGATTGATATTCACACGTAATGTACCTCAATGTTTGCATATATGCATTATATAATACATAGTGCTTGACTACATGCCATAAAGTTAATTAGATGTCTCAATATTTACTTATTGCATAAGCTTACAATGTTTACATGCTTCCGTTAATTATATGTTGTCCAACGGTTAAATGCTTAGATTAGCACCTATAATGTATATAGAATTTGTATTGTAATACTTTCGAACTTATAATATTATATATATATATATATATATATATATATATAACGTATTTTTAAACAAAACAGTTAGTGGGATTCAATATTTTCTTTAACACAAATTTTATTTAGAATAACGTTTTTTTTACTTAGTCAAACCCGATGCTATCAATAATTTAATGAGTAAAAATTGACCCTTTTCGTTAATCAACTATTTTATATATTTGCCAAAGACAAAATCGGCAACCATTTACGCATTTTTTTTAGCAATATTGCTTTCTTTACTTCCTTTACGATAATGTTTACGAAAATCAACTATTAGCAATATGTTTATGCATATGATGCACGTGTAAGATTAATGACATATCACATTTATGTAATTTTATGTAATATAATATAGGTGTGATGAATGACAACACTATATTTATCCATCGATTCAACCTTTTCTTTTAATTACGTCTGCAATAAAGAACTTTTGCATGAAGAACTATAACTTTTCTCATTATACATTTATTATCGATACCCCATATGCAAGGCTGGTGGATGTACTCTTAATCTATTTTATTTTTATTTAAGATGACTCACCCAACTGCACCCGAGTTTGACATTCTGGACTCAGAAGGACTTGAGTACCATAGATGGGTTTCTGACATAGAAACCACTTTTGTGGCTAAAGACTATTCCGCCACGCTTGCCGACCCTGAAAGTTTAAAAGACAATGCACCGTCTGAAAAAATAAAGGCTGCTGCGTTAATGTTCCTTAGACGCCATATTGACCCTAGCTTACGCTGGGAATACTTACAATTGAAAACCCCCAAAGAACTGTGGGACGCACTAAAAGGTCGTTTTGGGAACATACATGACACATTGCTCCCCGAACTGACAGTACAGTGGAATGAAATCCGCTTAGTTGACTACAAAAAGATCAACGATTTTAATAAGGACATGTTACGCCTCAAAGCGCGCCTTAATTTCTGTGGTAAACCAATCACAGAAGATGAAATGATTGATAAGACCCTCTCCACTTTCCCTACCTCAGCAATTATACTAGCGAACCAGTATAGGTTGGAGCATAATAACAAAAGAATAACCACATTTAATCAGTTAATTAATTTGCTCCAAGTTGCTGAAAGACAAAATCAAGTTCTCTTGAATAACAATGCCAGACCAGTTGGGACAAAGAAAATTCCCGAGGTCAACTATGGCAAAGCAAACACTGGAAAGCACCCTCGTGGAAGAGGAGAGGGCCGTACTCGTGGAAGGGGGCGCAACAATCGCGGCGGGCGTGGGGGCCGAGGTACGGGCCGAGGTACGGGCCGAGGTACGGGCCGAGGTACGGGCCATGGAGGATCTTCCAATGTATGGCGAAGAGATGAGGGTGTAGGATCAAATGCCCGCAATGCATCCGGAAAACCTTCAGCCAAACGAGAAAGAAATGACGGAGACCCTTGCTATAGATGTGGAGTTGCAGGTCACTGGCATAAGAATTGCCAAGCAAATAATAAAATTGCGGCAGCTTACAAAAAGTATCGGGAGGCTAAAGAACAGTAATCTCATTTTGTGACCGACGAAGATAACGAGGTTGACGTTAACCTCACAATTGCTGATTTTGGCGGCAAGAAGGACGCTGTTCAGTCAGTCGATGCACCTGACTTTGACTGATTGAATTTAATTTCTTTATCTGCTCATGGACTGTTGAACACTTTTACTATTTGCGTGTGGTTTTATATC